ATGCAAGACATTATGAAGCGTTGCGAAGGAAGTAATGTGAAAAACAAGTAACAGCTCAATAGGGGACAGCTCCTTCCCAATCTTGGGAACGGGCGGACGGCGAGGCAGATTTAATCACTTTCAGAATGCGGGCGAATAAATCTGATTAGACGAGAAACCGGCGGAAGTGATCCATTCAAAATCAGTTTGATGAAAACAGCTCTTTTGTCATTGCTAGTCTTGATGAAAACTCCTTTCAAGTGGAATGGTGTGACGCATCGCAGCCATTTATGGCCTGTCAGACAATGCCGATTAATTCAAGACGCCTGGCTGCACATAACTCCTCATGTCTCCAAATGACATCCTGTTGATGACTAAAAGGTTTTATACTTTCCCATGCGACCTAACTCGAAGCTTCAATCAGTGCATGTGCAAAGGAGCCTGGTGGGCAGGTCCTGTATGTCACTTAAAAAAGGTCAGGATATCGCGAAACCTGTGTATACTTCCTGCTAGTGCCGAGTGTCTGTTGTTTCAGCAGAGACTGGTGTTGTTCGGGCGAAGAAAGGGCTCACATTTTTCTTTGGGGCGTACAGTTCAAATAAATATGTGTTTTGAGGACGATACTGGAAGGTAATGTCAGTTTAGGCCAGCGATTAATCCTTAGATGGAAAAGTGCCGGCTCTGACTATTGGGTCTCCGGCAGCTCTAAGTACCGGCTCTGTCTATTGGGTCTCCGGCAGCTTTAAGTACCGGCTCTGACTATTGGGTCTCCGGCAGCTTTAAGTACCGGCTCTGACTATTGGGTCTCCGGCAGCTTTAAGTACCGGCTCTGACTATTGGGTCTCCGGCAGCTTTAAGTACCGGCTCTGACTATTGGGTTTCCGGCAGCTCTAAGTACCGGCTCTGACTATTGGGTCTCCGGCAGCTCTAAGTACCGGCTCTGACTATTGGGTCTCCGTCAGCTCTAAGTACGGGCTCTGACTATTGGGTCTCCGGCAGCTCTAAGTACCGGCTCTGACTATTGGGTCTCCGTCAGCTCTAAGTACCGGCTCTGACTATTGGGTCTCCGGCAGCTCTAAGTACCGGCTCTGACTATTGGGTCTCCGGCAGCTCTAAGTACCGGCTCTGACTATTGGGTCTCCGTCAGCTCTAAGTACCGTGCTCTGCTATTGGGTCTCCGGCAGCTCTAAGTATCAAAGACAGGCCTCTGACTATTGGCTCTCCGTCAGCTCTAGTACCGTCTCTGACTCTTGGGTCTCCGTCAGCTCTAAGTACCGCTCTGACTATTGGGTCTCCGTCAAGCTCGAAAGTACCGGCTCTGACTGCTGGGTCTCCGGCAGCTCTAAGTAGGTCGGCTCTGACTATTGGTCTCTCGCAGCTCTAATACCTCGGCTCTGCGTTGGGTCTCCGTCACCTCTAAGTACCGGCTCTGAGACTATTGGGTCTTCCGGCAGCTCTGCGGGTCGGGTGCGCGTTCCGAACACTTGGATGAGTAAAAAAGCCGTGTTGTGGAAATTTGTTAACCGAAGCACGGACTTTGAAGACACTTTGATGAAGCAATGAAGCATTCAAGCAGTCCTTATTGGTGAGACGTAACAAGGGAACCTCTGCGGGGCAATACATTTATTATAATCACGGAAGTCAGTACCACATGATGTTGTTTTGGTCGTTATCTGGTGTTTGCTTCTTTGCACTAAACATGGGTCAGGCAACTTTGTGTCTCATTTCATGCAAAACTATCTAAATGTTTCATTTTAAATGGCATACGTATTTGGATACGCTGTTCCCCAGCTTGAAACAATATACATCCTCTACAATTTTAATCCTAGCCGAACGGTTCATCTTGCATGATGCAGTTCAGTCAATTTTCTTTCTTCAGTCCATTTTATTCTTATTTCAAGAGATAGGTGCATACTCACTACGCAGGAATTGAAATTGTTGGCGGTCGGTAAGTGTCTCATGAGATGGCTTATACCTCCCCCCCCCCCCGCCTCTGCGATAATTGGCACGAGAAATTGTCACATCTAACTCTCAGACGTTCATTGCGCTGCAGAATCGGTGCAGAACTTGAATGTGCCCTTGAAAAGCCAGCAAACCTATGCTTTCATTCGCATGGGAATATGTCACATTCATGGTGCGTACAGCCGTCTATCAAATTACCATTCTTATCTATACTGCCGGGCATATGGTTATAGTACCACTTTTAAAACCTGACCAGTTGGTGTGTTAGAATGACAGGTCTTGATACAGGAAAATGGAGCTGTGAGAGAGCATGCTGGCTGCTGTCCGATATAAAACCACATACGGATTGCGTGCGAGGGACCTGTTGCGAAAAACCCATGAATTGAAATGTCTCACCAATGCAGCAATCATCTCACTTTCGCACCTAGATGCGACAGGGGAGATGCACGCACCTATTTGTGTGTGTGTGTGTGTGTGTGTGTGTGTGTGTGTGTGTGTGTGTGTGTGTGTGTGTGTGTGTGTGTGTGTGTGTGTGTGTGTTGTGTGTGTGTGTGTGTGTGTGTGTGTGTGTGTGTGTGTGTGTGTGTGTGTGTGTGTGTGTGTGTGTTCTTGTGCGCTTCCGTCCGAAGATAGTTTAAATTTGTTAATACTGCAGCATGCCGTGAATGCTGTCAATTACCCGTCGTATGCCCATGCCGTCTATTGTTCATTAGACCCCAAGTCTTTGTCATTTTCACTTTGTACAAGTCTGGTTTTTTAGCGCTAGTCCTCTAATGGCGCATCCAGATTTGGGTTTTTAGTCCTTAAATAGGTTGAAAGGTAGGTTTTTTGGAGCGATGAAGCATTCTGCAGTCTTGTTTTGTGGTTTAATGGCAGAACAACATTACATAATTTGGTTCAGAGGAATTCTACGCAGTATTGTTCCCAATGGAGATCCGGAAATTAACAAGTACACGAAAACCCGTGAGTCGAAAAAGTCTTACTAGGACTTTTTCAAGCATGCTGCAGTTTTCACTTGCATGGTTCGGCACTGGACTCCCCCAGAGCAGGAAGTGCGGTGCTATTTTGTGGATGGAGGGTGGGCTATTTTTTTTTGAGGGGGGGGGGCATCTCCACGCCCCAAGCCTGGAGATATTGTTTGGTGTCGAGTTCACCGCCCATAGTCCCGCTGCCCCATCGGGCTTGACCCGGCCCGACCATCGCACTGCAAGGTGATGCCTGATTGATTTGATCAACCCATTTCAGACATCCAGTGTGAAAGTATGTTAAAAATGTTTTATTTCACGTTTTAATTAATCACATTGTGTTCTGGAGAATGTCGAGGATTTTCCCAGCTCCAACCACACTGCCTGGTGCTATTCAACCCACGGTTTTCGTCTGGTTTCAAGCTTTCATTTCGGGGCCAAATTGACCGTACATTCTGAGCAAAGATATGCTTGCCTTATGCATGCCAATGTCAAGATGCTGCCTCATATCTCTTTTTGATTGGTTCTGTAGGACATAGGTTGGCATCTAGATTCTTATCAGCCAACTAACCTTGTCTGTCAGTGTTCTCTTCACCTATGTGACCTGTCGCAGAAGGTCACCCGTTCTGAGCCACGCTTGCGAGGTGATCCCGTTACTTCAGCTAGCAACTGTCCACGTGCATCGGAGTACGCCCTGTCCTTAATACACTGCCGCAGACTGCTCGACCACCCAGCCCGCACTGACGTAAGGCTGGAGCGCCGAACATTCGCGAACACATTTCTGAGCGCTTAGATATTACAAAAAAAGACTTTCAGCAATGCTCTCCGAGCACAGCTCATGGTTCAGTCACGCCTGAAATCAATCCTTCTGATGTGACCCAGCGCCTTGGAGTAGTTGTTCCGCGTGGGTTTGAATCTGCCTGGCAAGGGAGCGATCTTACTTACGAGGCCCATCACAGTTTTCGCAGAGCAAAGGCAGGCGTCAGTATCTCCAACTGGGTATCCTCGGACTACGACTGTAAATAATTATTTTGTGTCTATTATATTTCGACATAGAATTCCTCAAAACAGTCACGGTGCACGTTGGCCATTAAGTCATCCAGGGCTGCACACCCTATAAGACATATAAACCTTTTGAAAGACAGATTAGGGGTGCTGGTGATGCAGGGTTAATGCGTGGTTAACGCGGCTGCGTTGACCACTGCGCGTGTGGGAAACCAGAGGTGCGGGGTGTGATTCCTATGGAGGTGAGACCGAGGTCAATACGAGATCATTCTTGTTCTGAAGAGCTTCCTTTATTGAGTGGCATTTGAAGCTTATTTCAAATCTCTTGATCACAAGGGTGTTACAAGATATCTTATTCCAACTTGATGAAATTAAGAGGTTACTGACCAGAGATGACCTCAATGAAACCTTCCATTGTAGGTTACCACCTAGCCTAGCGTAGTCATCTGCCATAATTCGAATTCAAATTCCAGCTTAGTCTCAAAAGTTTTGGTGACCTTGACCCTCTAAAGGTCACATCAGGTCACTGATCTGACATGAGCAACAGTGACAGTTGGCTTAGAAGTGATGTGTAGGTTATAAATGGTTGCACGAGGTGGTCTGCAGACACGGCTAGCATCCATCTGGAATGTGGCCTTGCTTCACCTTATTTGACCTGAAGGTCATGGCTGGGAGCATCAAAACTTAACATTAGGGATTACACATACAGGCTCACCTTTCCAACGAACCTGTCGCCTTAAGCTCGCCTTGTGATAGAGATGTTAGAGGCGGTCAATTTGCCTCCCCTCCCCCCCCCCCCCCCTCCCCACCCGAGCACGTCATATTCAACTGGCCACCCGGGCGCGTGTTAGCTACTTTTCCTGGTGGGTGACGTCAGTGTAGTGCGATATGGTGCGATCGGACACGATGTTCATTTAACCTAACGACCACGTCTCCCTACAGCCAGAAGTTAACCTGCCTCAACACGAAAACGCACGCACGGTCTGCGCCCACCTTTCAGACGATGCCCCTCCGATGGAGCAGCCGGACGCACTCCGGCACGAGTGGCCCACGTGGGAGGCAGTGCTGACCCGACGCCCCCTCCCCCAGCCTGCAACCGGACCTACTACGGCTTCGAAGGTCGGACCTACGGCCTGGAGCTGCGGCCGCCGCGGCGGCAGCGGCTGCCGCACGTCTGTCAGCTGACGTTCATCGCTGACGGCGGAGAGCACGGCGACCTGCTCGAGCTCGTTTTCGACACGTTCAGTCTGGGCCGCTTCACCAGCCACGTGCACAACGGCTGTCCGGACGGGTGAGAAGAGCCGGAGGATGAGGATGTGGAGTGGGGGCGATGCACCGGGGGTCGTCCCCCTGGCTGGGTCGGCTGAGGCGCTGGATGCTCGGAAGTGGGTTTAGTTGGAGATGCAGCTGGCACTGGAGCTGCTGTAAATGCGGATATTTACGCATGTGCCGTGTAATTAACGGTAGTCTTGACTGTGAATGTTTCTTGCTGGTTTGCATCTAAAGCGAGCAAACATCCTCTAGCGACTTTAAAATGGAACCGATCCCATGGTTGGCGGCTTATTATATGAAGGCATATGTTCCATGTGATTTATTCACAAGGGTCGCCTGCTCGCAGCAGACTTGTGTTCGATTCAAACTTAGTTATGAATCGACTCATGAGCAAATTGTTTAGGGGTGAGTCGTGAACTGAATCGACTCACCAAAAAAGCATGCTTTGAGTTATGGGTTGTATCACATGCTTCGTAAATTGTATGGCCTGAATTGTGAGTCGATCATTACCAACAATGATATGTCAGTAAGCTACGTGGCTCAAATGAAAATGGTGGCATGAGGAAACACAGCACACCCCAGACAAATCAGCAGACCATTTCAGAGTGTTCAAAAGAACAGTATGAAGCGCTAGTTATAAGCCTTTTTGCAAAATTAGCACAAATACTGCTATTGTAATTTCTAACCAGTAAACAGTATTGTTGATCCTGACCTGAAGTTTGTCAAATCCTAGTGAGAGACCAGAGGATATTACGTGGTGCAGACAGTGGTGCAGACATCGTACATTCTTGTATCATATCCTGAAATCAGTGAAAGAATGTCTTCGATCTATAAAGCCAATGGAATGGTCATGTTTTTCATTTTTCATTATCATGTAATAAACAGCAAGATGGTCTTGTCGCATATGCGCATTGTATGTCCCGTATGACCTCAAGGGATATTGTCAATAACTATATCCACGCTATACGCAACTTGTGAGAATGTGGCCTCCAAACTAAGAAGTCTTGGAATGCGGGCAGTGACCCACAGCGCCCTAAACTCTATGCAGCGCGGAAGCCTGTTTTGACTCCTAGCCCATCATAGAGTGACCTGATGAGATGAGTTTAGGACAACCTGACGCTTACGTTAGCCTATCTCTAGTTCGGTTGTTCAGGGCTCAACTCAGTTCAGCTCAGTTTCCTGCTGGCTGGAAGGAATGGCTTGAGTGAATTGAACTTCTTTTGGGCTTGTTTGTGAGAGATGCAAGGATGAATTGTATTACTGATTAGGTTCAGGTATTAGGAAGGATCACATGTTTGTAAGCTATGCTGGCTTACCCCTATTGCAAGAACTACAATCCAATGTTGCATTGCTAACACGCTAGTGCCGACGGCGTGGCTGGAACTGGCTAGTGGAAATGTGATGTGAATGAGCTTGGCTGGCACTTGGCAGGTGCAGGCTGCAAGCTGTGAGGTTAAGTGCAGTCCTGTCCACGTTGCATGCTTTTGAACTAATGGGTATGGGTCGTAGGTGCCACGTGGAATATGCCAGCCTAGATTTGAGACTTGAGAGAGCTGGTTGGTAATAGGTCACAGGAAAGGTATTGTTTGCTGCACTGCATTTGGTAGGTTTAAACTGCAAACTTGCTGCTAAGCTGTATATATATATATATATATATATATATATATATATATATATATACACCTAAATGAACCAGAACTGAATCGGATCTTATATTTGCAAGCTGTGTGAGTCATCAGCCAAATGATTCAATGCAAGCCATGAGTCGTGAGTTGATTCGGATCTCAAAATCTGTGAGCCATTCCTGAGCCGACTCAACAAAATTGAGTCGACCACAAGTCTGGCTCGCAGTCAAGCGTGTTCCTCCACAACACATCCCACCAAGCAGAGCTCTTATGCTTGCGACCTAGCGTGATGCATCGTTTTAGAGCCCTGGTGCACTATTACATTCAACATCTATTATCTTTAGCACAAATAGTCCACAAGAAATGAACGGAAGAAAGGCTGGTGCGCTGTCCGAATTCCGACGTCGGACACGCAAATTGCATGATTTCATTTGGCGCTCGGGCTGGCGGTTGTAATAATTTGGCGACCAGCGAGGCTAATTACGCCAATTAAGTGCTCCGCGCACCAGCCCCAGCCTGCTGTATTTGGCAAATTATGCTGCAGTTATTGCCTTAACTAAATCGTCATCGTGTTTGAGCACGGCAAACAGCAGGCGACACCGCGCGCGCTGGTCAGACTCTGAGATGGGGTTGTGAAGTAGACCGTATGCATGATAGTTCGAGAAGCTGGAGAGCTTTGCATAATATATTAACGAACCTAAAGAAGATATTCGCTTTTAATGTTTCCCATCTTTCTTTTCTTGTCATATCTCTATTCCTCTAGATGCATTTGTAGAATACTGTCCTCCCGCCAACTATCCTTGTAGCGAGACTGTGTTTCTTCCGTTCATTCTACGTTCTTGTTCGTCCTTTCCGTTTGCAATACATTTATGTCATGTGTGTTTGCGAATGTATTTTCCATTTCAAAAGCGCTGTGGTGCTCGATCCATCAAACGTTTTCTGACTTACACACACATCGGACCGCCCTGCAGTACCAGCGATTCGGCGCAATGTACCATGCTTAGTGCAAGGCCGCCTTAAGTCACGTCATAACAGTGAAAATCCTTGCAACGCGCGATATCGATGTGTACCAGGCGACTTATCTCATATACGCCTTCAAAAGCTTCTAAAACTGCTACATGCTGTTTGTAGCCGGAGGTCTAGCGGAGTTCACGCATCACCCCTTTCCGCGCCTTCTTTCCATCCATGCCTCATCCACCCCTGTTAGAACCTTCTTGCACTGCTTGGTGGTCCAATACTTCTTAGGGGTTTCGTGCCTTTAGACTTCTTAACTTCTCTATGTGAAACTTGTGATGGCGCTGAGTAACTGTAACGCAGTCCGTCGCGTCACGTGACCGGAGGCGCCTCGCTCTCTGCCCCACAGCCACATGCAAATCGCCGAGGTCGGTCGGATCCACAACGACGGCTTCTGGTGCGGCTCCGGTTGGGGATACAACGTGTACTACAGCGAGACCAGCACCGTCACCGTCACATTCCGGCTGTACCGGCTCAGTGGCGGCGGCAGCTTCAGCGGCGATGAGGTCAGCCAATTCTACGTCAAGCTGCGCTACAAGTTCATCAGCGCTCAGCGGGCGGTGATGCGCAGCGGGCCGAAACAGGCCAAGTTCCGCGGCATCCCCGTGTACAACAGCTTCTGTGACTTCATGTTCGACAACTGCGACCGCGTCCGCTGCCGAATCCAGAGCCCGAACTTCCCGGGGCTGTACCCGCGTAACGTGACGTGTTCTTACCACATCAAGCACAGCGAGCCGCCCGGCGGCACGCGCGCACTCCTCGTGCTCTCGCAGCGGTACGGCGAGCTCATCAACGTCAAAGACACGGACTCGGCCGGCGGCGCCGTGCGCCAGCTCCATACCTGGGCGAAGTGCGACCTGGTGCGGGACTTCGTCACTGTGTACGACGGTATGACCAAGTCGGCGCCGAAGCTGCTCAAGTTCTGCGGCGGCGGCGCGCTGCCGCCGCTCGTGTCCAGCGGGCCCAACATGATCGTCGAGTTCCGGACGTCCGCCTTCGACCGGCTCAGCCAGCCGGCGCTGTCGCGGGACAAGCTAAAGCACCCCACCTCCTACATCCCCGGTTTCGAGCTGGACGTGAGCGTGCGCTTTGTCAACATCAGCGAGCGCACGCGCTTCGTGGACCGCAGCGGCTGCCGCTACGTCTTCACCAGCACCATCAGTCCAGTGGGCCTCATCGGCAGTCCGGCCCACAGCCTGCCGTCCAACACTAGCTGTACGTATACGCTGCTGGGGCGCAGCCACGAGCGGCTCTGGCTGTACTTCCTGCAGTACCACGTCACCTACCACGCCAGCCACCAGGAGGGCTACGGTCACGACGCCAAGTCGCGTCACTGTCACCACCGCCTCGACATCATTGACGGCGCCCCCGGCGGCGGCCGTAACCGCTCGCTCGGCTTCTTCTGCGGCGACACCAAGCCGCTGCTGTGCACGCGCGCCCTGCGAGCGGCCGGCGGCGCGGCCGTGCCGCCGTGCGCGCTGCACGAGAGCTACCTCTCGTCGTCCGAGAACGTCACGCTGACGCAGCGTCACGTCACCGGGCTTGGCCTCGACACGGCCAGCTTTCAACTCCGCTACGAGTTCGTCGACATGCGCGAGGACGGCCAGCAGCTAGGGGACGAGCCGTGCCACCCGCGTGTTCGCAAGCCGCGGTCGCCTCAGCAAGGGGTCGTTCGGGCCCGCCAAGAACGTGTTCCTGTACGGTCGCGGCGGGCGCACGCACCTGCGCTGCCTCTTCCGCTTCGAGGGCACGGCCGGCGAACGCGTGCGCATCCTCGTCAACAAGTTCACGGCGGCCGACGAGAGCGGCTGCGAGACGGTGCGCGACGAGCGGCTGCAGCGCTACCGGTGTCGCTACCACGGCGGCGCGCGCTCCGAGCTGCGGCTGGCCGAGGTGCCCTGGCCGGGCGTGCGGGTGTGGCGCGACTGCGTGTGCGCCGACCGCACCACCGGTACGCCCATCGTCGTCGAGTCAACGGCCAGCGTGCTGGAGCTGCGCTACGACGTGTTCAACATGACGGCCGCCGAGGACTTCTACTCGTACTCGTTCATTGCCAAGTACGAGTTCCTGCGCAAGACGGCCTGCAAGACTGAGACGCGCATCAACGGTGAGAGGCGGGTGCGGTGGTGGGCGGTGGGCTGGAGGAGGAAGGAGTCGGGCTTAGGTGTTATGTTGGAAGGGTCACTATCGTGCACAATTCGTGGGACTGATTCCAGATTTTATGTTTCAAGCCTGATTCTGAGTCTATTAAAGTGTGGCAGCAGGCCAAGCGAACCTTATCGGGGACCTTGAAGAACCATACCTTGACCACATCTAGACGAGAGCACATATCTACACATCGAATCATATCTGTGGACCTCAACCCGACCCGACCCGACCCGGACCGGCTCGGACATGTCTGGCCAGATTATTATGCCTTTTTGAACAAGTTGAAAAAAAATGTTTATTGATCGATGGAAAAGCGACCTATGTCACCTTCGCAGCCACCGGTTTCAAATACCGTGCTTAACCTGAATCTGGCTTGACTTGACTCAATCTTTGTGGCCTTGACTGCAAGAGAACGACCATGAAACCACGCGCGGGGTGATCCTGTTCATTGCGGTCAATGTCTTTGCAAAACATTCTGGCTTTTATACCACAATGTTTTGGTCATAATTTCCAAAACTGTGCACCACTGCAATTTCATGCATTTGTCCACTTAATTGCCAGACACTTCCAGACTCATCGTCAGACCTTGATTCGGCAGTCAGTTTTTCTTCGCTTTTCCAACAACAAGGAGAGGAGGGATAAACACGAATCAAGTCACCACAAGGTCATTTTATATCATTTCGTGACGGCCCAGGGCCGATTTTCTCCTGCCCCCACCAATGTCTCCTTACCCCGTCCCAAAATGTTGGTTTGGACCCATTTACTAATTTTGCCGTTTTTACAAGAGGGCAAAGCTGGGTATGCACAACAAAGCTTACCTTTTAAGGTGCCATGTGATGGCCTTTTGGTAATGATAATTCACAAGCAGACATGAATTGAAAATTACCTTTCGTCAACCAATACTGGTCCTAATCCGTCGAGAATCACATGCTTCGGGTAGGTTATGCTGTTGGGCCCGTGGCTCGCCCCTCCCCCGCCGCCCCCCAAAAATATAATTCGACCCCACTGTGTCACCATGTACTCAGGGAACGGCTGGCCTGACAGAAAACAGATGGTCTTCGATTGCAGGCAGCTATAGCCTGATGAAAAGGCGGCTACACATCATAGTGCATGATTGTAGTTCAGCATAGTATACTATGGCACGATTTGCATTTTCGCGTCAAAAAAGATTATTTCGATCACACTTCAACAGCATTGCGCAGTCTCGTATATTGCAGGACAGAAAGCTCCACTAAGTCGCGTGATACGTTGACGCTCAAAGCACAAAAAATAAGTAACTCTTTGCTTCCGTTTGCCTCTCCGATATCCAAGGGGCGGGCACATCGTTTTGTCATCGAATATGTGGCATTAACTCTTCCCAGTTTCCAAAGCCTCGCTCACAAAATCGGTGTTCGTGATTGGTCAAGCCCGTTACAAACTGCTGACAGCAAGCAAAAGCGGCAATTCGAGCGCAGCTCATGCTATTTTCAGACGTCATTTGTCATTAAGCGAAGTTACCAAATTCGTCCTTTACTTGTTAAACTCTTATGAAAGCTGGACATGCCAAGGCGTTAATCAAATCCGTTGTCAACCCGTATAATCATCGCATTAATCAACTCCGTTTGTAAGGATTGTCAAAAGTGTCTGGCGTCTGGCTCGAGTAGCTTAGTTTTTGGCATCACCTACAAGGTGACAGACGGTAACTTGGCATCACCTACAAGGTAACAGACGGTAAACCCCGTAGGCATGCGATCCCCTCGCTCGTCAATAGTTCTGATGCCTACGATCCCCTCGCTCGTCAATAGTTCTCATGCCTACGATCCCCTCGCTCGTCAATAGTTCTCATGCCTACGATCTCATCGCTCGTCGATAGCTCCCACGCATGCGATCCCATCGCTCGTCGATAGCTCCCACTCATGCGACCCCTTCGCTCTTCGATAGCCCCCACTCATGCGATCCCGTCGCTCGTCGATAGCTCCCACTCATGCGATCCCATCGCTCGTCGATAGCTCCCACTCATGCGATCCCGTCGCTCGTCGATAGCTCCCACGCATGCGATCCTCTCACCCGCCCCGTGTTGTGCAAGCTGCCTTACTGGTAGCTTACGGGCTGGTGAACGGCGAAAGGTCCGGGAGAACACGGGCATGAGACGCAGGGCCCAGCCAGGAGAACACGGGCATGAGACGCAGGGCCCAGCCAGGAGAACACGGGCATGAGATGCAGGGCCGCAGCCAGGATAACACGGGCATGAGATGCAGAGCTCTAGCCAGCCAGCAGAACACGGGCATGAGATGCAGGGCCCCAGCCAGCCAGGAGAACACGGGCATGAGATGTAGAGCCCCAGCTAGGAGAACACGGGCATGAGATGCGGGGCCCCAGCCAGCCAGGAGAACACGGGCATGAAATACTGGGCCCCAGCCAGAAGAACACGGGCATGAGATGCAGGGTTCTAGCCAGCCAGGAGGACGCGGGCATGAAATATAGGGTCCCAGTCAGGCAGGAGAACACGGGCATGAGGTGAAGGACCCTTGTCAGGAGAACACGGGCATGAAGTGCAGGGCCCCAGCCAGGAGAATACGGGCATGAGGTGTAGGGTTCCAGGCAGCCAGGATTTTCTTAAGGGAGGGGGACGGAGCTCGGTGAACACACGCCATGTCTCCTGATGGAAACGATCTTTGGTTAAAAATATAACAAAATCCAAGCCTAAGGGAGGTCCCACCCTTTGACCTCGCTCCTGATGGGGTGGGGCAAATAGTCCTGGAGGAGATCAAGGCCGAGGACGATCAAGTCGAGGTCGCAAGCCACATCAACCATGGGTGAGCAGAGCGGGTGTAAACGGATGGCCGGATGGCCGTCCAGTCCAAGTGAGACGAGTGAGTTTAGTGACACACTGCTGCGACTAGATTCGCGACTGGGTGTGGCGCGAATCATGGTAGAGTGTTGTGCAGCCTTGCAGCTAAAGGTCGCGTGGCATCTATAGTTGATGCCTTCCGGGAGCAGCCTTTTAGAGGCTCCATTCAAAACGGCTTAAGTTTGGGCGACGGCTTCTGACCTTTTGTGGCAGCAGCCTTCAAGAGACGCACGGTTGGCTGGATACCTCTCGATGGTGATATGGGAATCGAGTTATTCAGCTTAAGCGCGTTGTTGCAGACAGATACCAGCGGAGACATCTGAATAATGTCACGTTGATCTCGTCCAATGTCACACAGTCGCTGATGCAGGTTATCTTCTTTACCCACGCTTGTTTGAGTGGCTTGGTCGTCCATGTGAAACCCTCAGGCCTAATTTGCCTTCAGTTGAGATGAAAGAGTACATAACTTGATATACCTGAGCTCACAAATATATAATGTATCGACATCTTTTAAAAGCTGACGTGGCTGGTGTTTTATGGCTGCAAAGTTTTAAACGGACTTGCCTCCAAACACTTATAGTGTTTGGAGGCAAGTCACGAACACAAACCAAAGCTTATAGCGATAGGAATGGAGTTGGGACATAAACGGAATCGAACTCGCACAGCGGGATGAACCCAGGGGATGTCCTCATCACTTCGGCTTCCCGGATTCACTTACCCGGGGCTTAAAAAGAAAAACGCATCATTAGGACGCTGCCTCAGCCGATCCTCCCAGACTTTTAGTTTGATTGTAACGGCTACGGTACAAGTATAGTCATCATATACGACCAATCGTCCGGTGATCACCCGTCTTAAATGCCCCCACGGTCTGATAAGCTCTCCAGCCCGCCTATAATCGGCCATGCCTTGTATGGACTCCACGGCCGTGTTGGGTCGGTTGAGCTGCCAGGCGCACCGGTGGTCGGCCGTTTCGGGCCGGTTGAGCTGCCAGGCGCACCGGTGGTCGGCCGTTTCGGGCCGGTTGAGCTGCCAGGCGCACCGGTGGTCGGCCGTTTTGGGCCGGTTGAGCTGCCAGGCCGGTGGTTTTGGGCCGGTGGTCGGCCGTTTTGGGCCGGTTGAACTTCTAACCGCGTCGATGGTGGTCCGTGCTGAGGCCGGTTGAGCTGCCAGGCGTCGTCCGTGATGGTGCCGGTCGGGCTGCCAGGCATGTGGTGGCCGGTCGTGTTGGGGCCGGCTGAGCTGCCAGGCGTCGTCCGTGATGGTGCCGGTCGAGCTGCCAGGCATGCCGGTGGGCGCCCACACACGACCTTTGACGACCATCGGCCAACTTCCCAATTCAACGCGCGGTGCAAAGGTCAGCGTCCGCTCTGGAACAAGGGACGTCTCGAGCTTATGAAGAGCGTCGCACACTCGCCTCAGGCGCAGTGAGCTGAGCATGCATGCGGTTAGTTGGGCATTACATGCAGCTGGCAGATTTTCTTTTTGTATTGTTTTTTTATCCAAACGTTCTGAATCGATGAGTCTCTTACACTAGAACTCCCGCTAAATAGCGTTTGTTGTGTGAGCTATGAGCGACCATCCAATCGTAAAATATTGGGTTTACGCTAGATTTTAGCAGTGAAAATTTAATGTGGCGCCATGCTCGTCACGGTTCATTCCAACCACATCCACGCGTCGCCTAACTTTTAGCGTGGTTACTGCCAACGGTCGTAGGCGGCACCAGTTAGGAAGAAATAGCAAACACCTAAAGCAACTTGAACCCACCCCACCACGGGTGGATAAATCTGAAGACGAGTGATTCAACCAACTGCCCTACCAAGCCGACGACGATACGTTGTGCATATCTCTGCTTTATGTTGTCCGTTGACGGCCTGACCGTCTGAAATAGAGATTGGTATCGCTCGTTAACGGTACTGACGCATACACTATGCATGGTCTCACGTGCCCGTCCGCGATGGGTTCGGGCTCGAGACGCGGGCTCCGGCGACGCCAGAAACAGCGCTGGCCGCCCATGGCTGGGGGTGAACGCCGGGACGCTTGGAGGTAGGGGACAACGGAGGGACGATTAGAGTTGGGGGTCGACGGAGGAACCATTAGAGCTGGGGGTCAACGGAGGAACGATTAGAGCT